AGTATGTCATGCCATATTGAGAAAATTGAATGAAATTAGGGGATTGTATTTAACTGGATGGCTTGTCATAGAGCGTAGAAACTTACTGTTTAAAACAAGATTGAGCCAGGCGGTGGTGGCGCACGCCCTTAATCCAGCACTCAGGAGGCAGAGGCAGGTGGATCTCTGTGAGTTCGAGGCCAGCCTGGTCTACAAGAGCTAGTTCCAGGACAGGAACCAAAAGCTAGGGAGAAACCCTGTCTCGAAAATCAAAAAAAAAAAAAAAGATTGATGTGTATTTGTGTTTAATTCTTAAGGCATATTGTTGACTTAATTGTGAGTGAAAGAGGAAGAGAGGGAGGGAAAAGTTCACTATATCTCATCCAGTGTATATGAAAGGATTTAAATCAATTTCTAATTTCCTCCTATGGTTTACCCTGCATTGCTTCATTTTCTATGTGACTTTTTCACATTTGGATTATGGTTATCTTCTTGGGTGCAGAATTCCTGCATATATATCCATATGTGCAGGTGTCTGCGTAGATAAATGTATACAGGTACATAAGCAGGTTGACTGCTGCCAATTAGGTAGAAATAGCACACAATCTGTTGTTTGATAGAGGAAGTTTCTAAATTGTAGTTATTCACTGTAATTCTTACAGACAAATATCACAAAATAAAGTGGTCATTGCATTTAACAAGTGGGACATTTCACTCAATAAAAATACAAATGCTCCTATCATTACATCCTCGTCTTGTATATTTTGACGACATGGCTATTTAGCTTAGGGTGCATCATTTAATCCCACATCTAGTGCTAACTTCAAATGTGTTGTCTTCTTAATGCGATTATAATTACCTTGCAAGCCTGAAATTTACCCACCATTTCCTTTTATAATGAACTTAACTTAGGGGTGACTTTTCTAAATAAGTATCTAGAAAGTGAAATGAGAAATTGATTTACTAAAACAAGCCATTTTGATCGCAGTTATCCATGTTTTTCAGGAAAGATTCCAATGTAATTATCTGGAACACAGTCTGAAATGTACAGTCCGAAATCCTTGCAGTGCAAGTATTTACTGGACATTAAATGTGTGGACTCACAGTTTCTGGAGTGCCTGCACACCTCCTGCACTAGATCAGGCCCACGGAAGTTCCAGCCTGAGCAGCACAGGAGGAGCTCATGAGGCCCTATCCCTAGTTGAGGAGTTATTGGCATCTGCTGTTTAAGGGGGGGGAGGGAGAGAGAGAGAAAGAGAGAGAGAGAGAGAGAGAGAGAGAGAGAGAGAGAGAGAGAGAGAGAGAGAGAGAGAGAGAGTGTTTTCTTTAGGAATTCAGCCAAGAAAGCACATTCTCCTGTGTACTGTCTCACACCACACATAAACAGACAGTAGAAAGTAAACTTTTGGTAACTTTTGGTAATCTGCATGTTGAATTACCTAGCCCAGCCTGGATGTAAGGGGAGGAGCTCGGTCCTGCCTCAACTTGATGTGTTACCCTTGTACAAGCCCATGGTAGGCATGTTCCTTTTTGAATGGAGATGGAGGAGGAGCTGAAGGGGAAGGGGGTGCATGGGAAAGGGGAGGAAATAGAAGGAAAGGAGGGAGGGGAATCAGGTTGGTATGTAGAATAAATTAAAAAAAGTTATTTAAATAAATTTGAAAAAGAGCCCATAACGTTTGGATGGAAAAATGTTAGTTGATGGGGCAAGAATTTGATAAGAGGAAGATGGAGATAAAGTTGATAAAGCATGTGATAACTCAGATGAAAGTCTCATACAATGACAAATAAAAGTTTTAAATGAGTTTTTAAAATTAAGAAATAAAATGAAGTAAAATGTGGTTCTTTGCTCCTCCTTTGCCTCTTTTCTGAAGCTTTCTTTGTCAAGGCTGTTGATTTACTTATAAAGTTAACATTGCTATTCTTTGACCCCCAACTGGGGTGTTAACTTTCTCATATCTTCTTGTGGTAGTCTAGCTGATTTCATACCCCCTTCTTTACACTCATGAGTATAGATTAGCATATGCATGTAGGAGAGAAAATGTGATTTTTGTTTGAGTCACTTCAAGTGTTATTTTCTAGAACCACCCATTTTTTTTCTGCAAGTTTCACAATTACATATTTTAATATAGCTTATTAAAATTAAATTGTGTATAAATGCCACCTGGGGAAGGAAAATGCAACATAAAATGTTTGGAAAGTAACAAAATGTAAAGTATTACTTGATATAATAAAAAGAAAGTTAAAAATTAATGTACTAGGAAGAAAACGGTAGCCTGGAGAGATGGCTCAGTGGTTAAGAGCACTGGATGCTCTTGTCAGTGTTGTGTTTAGTGACCAGCACCGATATGGTGATGAATTAGCATCTATAACCTTAGTTCCAGAAGATTTAGTTCCTTTTCTCTGAATTCCACAGACACTATGTACGCACGCGATACACAGCAGACATCTATGTAGACAAAACACTGGTAAACATAAAGTAATAATAGGTAAAATAAATAAATAGAATAAAAGCAAGAAAGAAGGTAGGTTAAACCAGGAAAACTTGAAAAGAAAACATACATACTCCCCTAGATAATTGTACTTACACAATGATAGTTTCAATACTGAAAGGAACTTAAGATAAAATAAAACTTTTTTTTTTTTGGTCATATTAACCTCTGACCCCAACCTCTTATCCTCATCAATCCTTACTAAAGCATTTTCTAGAAATTTCTATAGAACCATAGATGGTCTTTGGAATCTCACTTGCAGGTCAATTTGTATAAGCTTTTAGCTCACAGTAAATAATCATTCCTCGTTTTAATATTTCATAAAATTGGGATGTAGCTGTGTACTTCTAAATCACCAGAAATGCAGAAAAACATTACTGTGAGTTCTGAGGTGCATGTGGAACACTGTACAGCCCGCTAGTTTTAAAAATATCAGGAAAGCAGAATATTTTTAAGTGTATGGCAATTATCATTCAAACAAAAATTCCATTGTTTCATGGAGGTGCTTATATTTTCTACAAGTTTAATATTTAGTATCACAAATTATTAGTTATTTGCACGTTCAGGAAAGGTTAGCATCTTCCTCTAACACTGGAGAAATGTGGGAAACAAGGTATGCAAATACTGAATATATTAAAAACTACAAAAATTCTGACTCAGTCTGATTTTTGAATCCAATTGATCTTAGCAGAACAAATATAACAAAAACAGCCTAATCTCTTGTATTATGTAAGTTTCAATACTGTATTTTAGGATAGAAAGAAGAGCAGACACACTTCTTATTTGTTTCTTTTCTGTTTTTTTAGTATCATAAATATATCTTTACACAACACACACATTATACACACATACACACACAGAGACACACACGCACACGTGTGTGAGAATATTTGATTTTTCCCCATAAGCACATACATATCCTGTATTTCTCTTCATTAAAAACCTCTTCACTGAATCACTTACAAATTGTGAATAAGGTGACCACTAAGTACATTCTGAAACACTAATGTTTTTAAAACACACTGTGGTGTCGTGAATTTCTTTTGTGAAAGGTAGAGACAGCTGACCAACCCTTTAACAGAGTTTGATTACTATTTGTATGCAGATAGCACAAAAATGTCAATTAAAACGAGTCACAGTCATCACACTGCATGGTCATAATGCTTTATAGACCAGTTTTGTTATCTAATTCAAGGTAGTCTAGTAAATAACCTGAAACCTAAATAAGACACAGAACAGTTGCTGCTTGAGTGACGGCTCAGTGATTAAGAGCACTTGCTGCTCTTGCAGAGGACACTGGTTTGGCTCCCAGCACCCTTGAAACGCGGTCTGTAATGGACTGTAACTTGCGTTTCACGGTATCTAAAACCCTCCTCTGGCTTCTGCAGGCACTGCACACAGGAGGCATACATAGACAGGAAGGAGAATGAGAAAAATCAAGGAAGGAAGGAAGGAATAAAGAATCCAGAAGCCCTAAGTTCTGTGACCAGAGATCTCCATAGATAATAAAGAGTGTTGTCTGTTAATTAAGACAAAAAAGCAGAATGATTCCTTGTTGTTTGGTTTTTGAAGAAATAGCTCATTGACTAGAGGAAAACAAAACAAAATAAGACAAAATTAGTTTCTACAGTTTTTACCTTTCTCCCACTTAAGACAGTCATTGAATCTCCCCAAAACATGATAAATTGCAACGACTTCAATCACATGAATTTTAATAAAAAAAAATAAAATCAATTTCAATTTTGTCTGCATATACTGAAACCATGAACAAATAGACTAAGCACAGGCCATCTCTTTTTGTCTGTTAATTACAGGGGTCCTATGTAACCTTAAAACACTAAGCTTATCTATCTACTTCAAGTGGGAAGTTAGAAATGGAATTCTTCCCACAGAAAATTTAAATGAAATTTTTTTTGAAGCAATTAAATGTTTAAAACAGGAAGCAATGTTTCTTTTCATAGAAACAACCAGAGGAATGCTTATTTTTAAGTCTGTTTTTCTTTAGCCCTACTCACACAAAATAGTCTGTTGCAAAGACTTCACTGCTATGAGGAGGTATTAACTGTAAAAATATAGCAGTCAGTGAAAGCCTAAATTTCCAAGAAAAGTATCCCAGTTTACGATTGCAACCAAATGCATATTCTCCGAGATTCTGAATGAGAAAGCTGTCTGATCATGTAATGAATTAACAATTCATGAATAAGTGTGTACCGTTGGCAACTGTGTTTTAATTATAATCCACGGAAAGAATTTTCTCGTTTTAAATCGTCCACATCACTCTTTTGACTACGGTTTGAAATCGTGGATCTATAAACACTTAAATATATGGATGGCAGCAACTTTAACTACAGAATGACCTTTGACCTCAAAAGTGAAAGCGTACAAGGGTGTGTTTCATTAAACTACAATCAGAACGGCTGAGATGATCAACTTTTCCCGGGACACATCACATCCATTGGTTGCCTTCCAAAAGACAAAAGTAGCAAAAGAGGAAATACTGAAACAGGAAGTCCTGCTTCAGAAACTCAGTAGACTGATTTCATTGGCTAGGAAGTCCAAATGCTGATGCTCCGAATTATGAGCCATTCTTTTTGGGTTTTGGTAACGCATATCCTTATGCAATGTATGTCAAATGGAATTTTTTGATTCACCTCTGACATTTCAAAGTTTCCGTGTTTGAAATCCCCCAGTCTTAAGTAAGTGTCACATTGTCTTATTTGTTTCTTTAATATAAGTTTTTTCCCAACATCTAGAGCTCCATGATGCAAAATGTCGTTCTGTCGATCTTCTGTTCCTGTATTCACTTTAATTTTTTTAATCGTAATTGGATTTTCAAATACAATCACAAATGTATCTCCGATGGACGGTGGCTTTCCCCAGAAGTACTCATCAACACTGCTGTAAGCCTTGCTTGCTTCATAGTTTTCAAAGACATTCATATTGGTGTAGAGACTTGCTGGGGGATTATCAGGGATGTCGAATGACTCCTCTTCAAAGTCATCGTCCTTGAGTTTATTTTCAGTTCCTTTATAGGATGAATAATAGCCCATGTGCTGAAAGAGAGAAGGTTTAAATCGGATCACATTTTTCTGAGCCAAGAGACCTCGAAAATGAGTCAATAGCCAATCGCAAGGCATTTCTTGATAAAACATTAATAAAAAGTGGGCCAGACGTGGGAGATCATGAGAATGATAGAGTTTACCGATGTAACCAAGTTTTGAGAACTCAAGAGTTACCCAGTATGTCCCTTCTAAGGATGCGATGACTTTTTTGATGGCGGTTAAGAAATTTTTGGAACACCGGACGTCATCTTCAAGCATGACGTAATAGTCTGAAGTATTGGCACAAAAATTCAGAAGAAAAGCATAGTCGACATTCTGCTTGGAGCGAAATCTGACTCTATCCTCTGGGTCATTGTAATTTCTTTTAAGACCATCCAGAACTGGATAATATTCTTCAGGAGCATGTATAACCATCAGTCTTCCTGCAATGATGTGATGGGCAAATTTCTGCATGATGTCCTGGACCATGGCATCCCGCCAGGAGGAATTAAAGTCTGCTAGATGCACCACTACTGAAATTTCCTTTAGTTCTTCATAGCTGGACTGTTCAAAAATTGACTTTATTGTTTCAAGTAAATAGTTTCCTTTTCTCCGTTTCACTGATGAAAGACCAATTGTGAGATACCCTGAGCAAAGAAAAAAAAAATATCAGTGGAAAAGTAATTAAATGTCAATAGACTTCAAATAATACAACAATAGGAACCAAATAAACAAGATTTGAATTCTTTAGGCCTGCAATTATAGCAACAAATCTATTAAATTATTATATATTTAACATTTTAATATTAGAGTATTAAACTCGCTACACAAAGGGCTACCGTGTTTCATGTACTTTTGATGTTTTATATAGAAAACAATTTATATTCTTTGAGCAATGTAAGATGGATCCTATATTACAAAAATGCTTAGGAATTATGAAAATAAAATTATCCTAAAATATTATATATAGCCTGATATTCCTATATACTACCAATAGAAAAGAGAGAGATGTTTAGCGATAATGTATCTACAAAGAAATGAAACACAGCGCTTCAGGCCTGTAGTCTTAGCATGTGGAGGACTGAGGCAGAAGGACTGTTTTGAGTTCAAGGCTAGTTTGGTATACACATAGATTTAAAGCCCAGAACAAGATAAAAAAATGAGCATTGTCAAATAATAAATACATCTACAAAAGCAAAGCAATTTTTTAATCAATGCTGACAGGCTAGACTCAAGTGAAAGGGAAAGAAGACTAGACATTAATTTAAATCATCTATAAAATTTCCAGAGAATGAATTGTGTCCTTCAGGGTTTGTATTCAGATTGCTATCTTTACTGAACGAATTCCAAGGCAGACTTTTTAGCCTTATTTTGAAATTTGCCTGATATGTCTTATAGAAAATAAACAGTTTGATAGGATGTATGGAGAAAGAAATTTTACAAATGTATGGTTCAAAGCTATGAATTTATTGCTTCATTTGTTTTGAAAAAACACTTTGCATCTTTACCCTCAGGGGACATTTTTCTTAGATTAAAGTTAAAAAATAAGAACTGGATGTTTTTATGGTGAGAAATAACCTCATATGGTTCACCTCTGAACCATATGTGTATCTTTCTAAAATCTGATTTTCTATCCTGAATATTCAATAACATTCCTTAATCACCAATGTGTAAAAGTGATAATGTGTGTATGTGTAAGGCTTAGTGGGCTAATATGGGCCTTTCCAGGATGCCTCAGGGATGTTTAACAAGCCCAGTGAAAGTCATTCCTTTCTTCTGCCATCCCTATCCTGAATGCACAACTTCTTAAGTCACTGTCACATGACTTAAGTCCCTGACACGTTTTAAGTTAACAACACGTGGTGTTGTTGTCAGGCAATGCAAGTGGTACCCATCCAAGTGGTAACCATCACTTAGTTGAAAGGTCATTCTTTGTGCATATCTTTTACTCTCTCAAATCCTAGACCACACAGGAGCCACTTAAGGGAGCTCTAAATTTTGACTGGCTATCATTTTTTTCCCAATCAAAAAATCTTCATATTGGTTTGAGTAAACTTTGTCATCCTACAGAATCCTCCCCAACTTGAATTTTAAGTTGGCAAATTTTCTTTGGAATGATCGCAAGGATTATTAGAGTACAAGCACTTAAATCTCAAATTCTGACTACTAGAACCTCAAGATAATAATAATAAAAATCCCCTGATTCATTATAATCTGTGATTGTCATTTATAAAATAGTGCACTATCAAGACCACATTCAAAGCTGGTTAGAAACTATAAAACTAAACTATCAGATTGGAAGTAAAACAGCACAACAATATTTTCAAGTTAGACATTTAATTTTACAGTCAAGCGATAATTATCTCTCTTAATGCCCCATAACAAATTTCTAAAGAGTTTTTATTAAAATTTGGTATTTTAATATTTATGGGGTAAGAAAGTATATATAAAGGTTAAAGGATGTCAAATGCTTCTTAAACTATAAAACTCGATAATCTCTAAATCTTGTATTGATACACAAACATAACAAATTATCATTATTTTTGCAAAAATTTCAGTTTTTCATGCAAATTTTAATAAAAAGATTCTGGATACTTACTCTTTCTCTGTAAAGGAGTGGCAGCTAGGTAGCGATAGGTAACATTTATGGTTCCTGAGAAGTTAGATAAGTCCTTGAATGTGTGAACATAGCGTTCAGAATTAAGTTGATGTGTGGATGTTTCCCTTATGAGTTGTTTGTCGCCTTCCTAAATGCAAAAATAAATAAATGCAAAATTAATAAATAATATGTGGCCACAAATGGAGGTCTGGGTAGAGCATGTATTTAGAAAGTTACATGCTTCCTGCCATACTGGCAATGGACTAAACCTCTGAGCCTGCAAGCCAGGCCTAATTAAATACTTTCCTTTACGAGAGTTGCTGTGGTAATGCTGTCTTTTCATAGCAACAGAACATTGACAAGGAAAGACATATAATTTCAAATTGTTGAGAACGATTAACCATCAACATTTTGTCATGAACTTGCTTATCTGAAAATGTTCTTCAGTAACATCAATTAGAATACCTTGGTACCTAGTCAGTAAAATGATTTGAGATCCTGTTGGGCTCTCATCTTTCTTATTGTAGTCTTTCTCTTTGTGTTTGTAGATGCATATGTGAAAATTTGTTTTTGTTTGATGTTCTGGTGAAGATAACTGAAATCGTTTATAATAATTATAATTATTTTTGTGCTGGTAGTAATTCATGTCATCATATGAACAGAAGCACTTAAATTTAAGAAATTTTCCAAATTCAGGTTAACTATTATTTGCTTTCATTTTCTCTGAGCTTAGATGTAAGTTCAATGGTAGATTTTGATAATTTGATAAAGTTATTATTGGCCGTATCCTTATTAGATTATTTTTGGGCATATATTCTATGATTCACTAGCATATATGTCCATAGAATCTAATTAGGTTTCTTTGTGGAAAGTTGTCCACTTTCCTGTGTGTTCTTACATAGATTTATCTGTAGTATTTCTGGTAGGAACTTAAACGAATCAAGTACAAGCCACTAAGACTAGAAAAAGTAAATTCTTTAAATGAATTTTGCCTTGATTCTTATCTGTGGTCAATAAAACTTTAATTAAATCTCTCTTCCAAAACATTGTATAAGATTCAGACACAAGTTTTACCTTGATTGGGACAATAAATAGTTACTGATTCAAAGGCAAAAAAAACACAATTAAACTTTAAAATCATGCGCAGAATTTTTCATGGGAGTAAAAAGAAGAAATACTGAAATTTAACAGGGGTGCTAAGAATTTTTAACTATACTATGAATTCAAAAAAATTCAATCCTACAATCTTTCAAATATTCTCATGACTTTATTCTGTCTGTGATAACATATTTCTATGTTTTACACCACTTTAATTATTTGAAAAAGGACATTTTCACAAGGTTTATAGTATATTCA